GGCCCACCATGCCACAGTCTCTGGCCTTCTATGGTTTTCCAACGCACACACCTGCCTATCCACCAGCAATGGTGCCCTTGAGACCATGGACTGTGCTCAACACAGAGAGATGGCTGGCCTCATCAGCCCACAACGCCTACAGTCAACAAGTTGCAGCTGTGGCATGGCCATGACTGCTGCCCACAGTGCCCACCAAGCCATTGGTGGGAGCTGGCAACCAGGCAGCCACCCCACCTGCACCTACACCATCCCAGCCGCCAGTGGCTATCCCCACTCCTGTGGCAGCCACAGCAGTGGAAGAAGGACGAGGAGGAGAGGTAGCAGCAGCAACACAGACCCCACTGACCCCACCCCACGCACTGGTGCAACTGCCCCACCAGCCCAGTGGCTATTCCTGTGACACACACTACCCCAACATCCACCCCCACGCAGCCACATTCAATGCCATTGCCACCTACACCAACCACATCACAGCATTGGCACTGGGAGGCATCAACAACAACCACAACAACAACAACAACAACATCAGACCAGGCCAACAAGAGGACACCAACAAGAACAGAGCTACTACTGCTGCTGCCAATATGGAAAAGGTAGCTGCACCTCTCCATTCCCACACACACACACACACACACACACACACACACACACACACACACACACACACACAGGTATGAATGTAGGGCGTCAATATGACCCATACTAACATGAGTGACTACTCTCTTATTCAAATATATGACAGAGGGCAGCACTGGGCAACTCACAGGGAAACCTGTGCAGGTGGTACTTTGAGGCTGAGAAGGAGCTGTACAAAAGTGGCCTACTTGATGGTTGTGGCTACAAGTCAGCCTATGGTAAGAGCAAGAACAGCCAGGATGGCAATGAAGCAGAAGCTGAACAGCAGTGGGGAAAAGACGAGACAACAGCAAAAGAACCGCCAGAGAACAGGCACCAATCTCCCTTCAGGTGCAACATCGACCACAAGTACATAGAGGTGGCCATCCCTGAGGTTACTGAGTGGTTCAACCACAAGTACGCCAAGGATGTCAGGAAGGCTTGAGCAGAGGTATGATTCTTCACACCACCTTGTGTATTTGTGTGTGTGCGTGTGTGTGTGTGTGTGTGTGTGTGGGCAGTTGTGCCACACCCTAGGGTGTGGCCCTATCGGAAATAGAGTGCATGGGGTTTCATATACATACATATATACATAAATAATGATGTATATATATATAATATCATCATGCAATGCCATGCCCTAGGGTGTGGTGGATTGAGGTATCAATGTGACCAAATCAGTTTGGCCACACCCTAGGGTGTGGCGTTCTGTCAGTGTAAGTGGGTGTGTGCACATGTGTGTGCACACATAGGTGTGTTGGGCTGCCACACCCTAGGGTGTGGCAGTACAGCTTAAGCAAGAGCAATCAATACTGATTTTGTGTGTGTGTGTGTGTGTGTGTGTGTGTGTGTTATCATTGTGAGCAGATACAGGCACAGGCGC